TGGGGACTGCCCCACCCTTGGAGACTTAACCCCTGGGTCATAACTTCGAAATGGTTAATATCCCCACCCCAAAACTATATATACAATTGTTAGGCATAAAGAGACGAATGCAGTCATGATATTAGAATTGATCCCAGGGTCTGCCCCACCCTTGCAGACTTGGCCCCTGGGTCATAACTTTGAAACGGTTGAGATCCCCACCCCAAAACTATATACACAAATGCTGGGCAAAAAGAGACAAATGCAGTCATGATATTAGAATCGATCCTGGGGTCTGGCCACAACTCTAGGGACCTAGTTACTGAGTCAAAGCTTGGAAACAGTTGAGATCCCCACCCCATAACCATACATAAAATTGGCCATGGTGTCTGTCATATTCCCTTGATCTCATTTGGAGAATATTTTGCCATGATTGCTTAGGTATCCAGGTGAGCGATACAGGCCCTCTGGGCCTCTTGTTTTTAAAAACAATATTTTTTTGCTTGATATAATCCTACTCTGAACAACAAAATTGAACCAGGTAAATTTCAGTACAAAATGTGAAGTTAAACCCTAGATCCCTACAGTTAGAGACAATTCAACACTGATGATATAACAAGGTTCAGTTTTTGTCCTGCTGCGACGAAGTAGTGGAAGCGAGACTAAGGTGTTGCTTTTCCGACAACAGCGGCGTCAACATGAAGGTTTTTGTGTTTAAGTTAGTTTCACTGAAAGTATAAATGCTAGACCAACCAAACTTGGACCATAGATGCATCTTAGGTAGTACATCTCAACCCATACATCAAATGCTGGATGCGGTCTACCTTTCATGGTCCATTGACTTTGTCAGCATCTTCATCAACATTAAGTTTTTGTGTTTAAGTTAATGTCTCTGATATGTGCATTGATGGTCACAGCTGGGCACAGGCGAGACATATCAATCTGAATGGCTTGTATTTCTATGTTCATTAAATTCCTTATCTATTGTTCAGACTTGAAGCGTTTCAGTCAAGGCCGATACAGTCAGAAGGTATCATCGTGTGTTGATTTCCCAAGCACACTAGATATGTCAGACTTCGCCTCTGAAAAAGGTTTGTAAAATTGCGGTTAACATTTTTCAAATATAAAAATAATTTTATTTAAAAATTAAAAATGTATGAATTTATGGTTGCATAATGAAATGTTATGGTATTTTTTAGTGACATTAAGAAGTTTAAGATTTTGCAGTGTTTTTTATGTACCGCCATAAAGTGGTGAAGGGCATATGGTTTAACCTTCCCTGTATGTATACATTCATGTATGTTTGGCTGTTGAATTTCTTTGTTTCGGTCAGTTACGGATTTCTTACTCCAGATAGGGTCACGTACCGTCACTGTATGTATACATACATGTATGTTTGGCTGTTGAATTTCTTTGTTTCGGTCAGTTACTGACTTCTTACTCCAGATAGGGTCACGTACCTTCACTGTATGTATACATACATGTATGTTTGGCTGTTGAATTTCTTTGTTTCGGTCAGTTACTGACTTCTTACTCCAGATAGGGTCACGTACCTTCCCTGTATGTATACATACATGTATGTTTGGCTGTTGAATTTCTTTGTTTAGGTCAGTTACTGACTTCTTACTCCAGATAGGGTCACGTACCTTCACATACTCCGTGATGAATACAGAATGTTACATGACTCTTTGTAGCCATAACCTTTGACCTCAGCCTCTGTATCATTAAGATTGTAAATAAGTGTCCATTTATTTATTTTTGTCGATTATGATAGGTTATGCATACCCCAGAGGGTCTTGTAAAGTTTTTTTGGTTTTGAAGAGTTATCTCCCTTCCTCTGTCCAAAATTGTTATTGTTTAAATGCTCTTTTGTTTTGGAGAGTTATCACCTTTTGTTCTATTCAAATCCTTTTTTCTGATGAATTATTTCTGAGTATTTGTCCTTAACAGGAGCGTCAAGAGTGGTATATAATTTGTACGCTATCAGTAACCATATAGGAAGTGTGTACTCGGGCCATTACACGGCCTACTGTAAACACCCCTACTCCGCAGAGTGGAACTCATTTAATGATACCAGGTAAGTCACATAAACCAGATTCACAGGTAAGTCTGTGATTTATAGGATATAGGAAGTGTGTACTCAGGCCATTACACGGCCTACTGTAAACACCCCTACTTCGCAGAGTGGAACTCATTTAATGATACCAGGTTAGTCACATCAACCAGATTCACAGGTAAGTCTGTGATTTACTCCAGAAATGCAGACCTACAAACATCAACTCATTCACCCCTGAAATTTCATAAATGAACTATTCCAACCTTTGAATGGAAGGAGTTCTATGTGTCTCGGGGGTGAATAAGTTAATGTTCTCTTGCCAATAAACGTTGATTTCAGTATCAATGTATAATGAAATAGAACTGTTATGTACAGTAGTGAAACATCATCTCTGTAAGATTATATTACCTGGTCCAGCAGCAGTAAGTTACTTCATCGTTAATAGTAATTTAGTAATTGGTTTTACAACATATATTTCATTAAGATTTAATATTTTAAAATTTGCAATTTTATCTTGTCAAAAATTAAAGCAAAATGCAGGTGATGTAATACAGTGTGTTCTGTGGAGTTGTTTTAGATGTTTTGAAGAAGCTCCCTTAGCCC